TCTTTTGCGGCGTTGGACACTCTCCCCCCAGGCCCCACAACAGGGCGACCCCACCCCTTACGGTGAGCATCTTGAGTCACTTGACTCAATGGTACCAGACTTCGCCTCAACTTCGTTAAGGTGGTAGAGGTTGGAGGTTCGAGTCTGGGGAGGTTCCAAAAGACCCCCGTGAGGGTGGGGTGAGGAATAACCACTGTACCACCAGTGGGAAAGCCGGCAATCATGTGGTGACATGTATGTTGTCCAGCGCCTGGGAAAAGACCCTGGAGAGGCAGTGGTGACCCAGGAGGGCTGTTACAATAACACTAATTAGGGCTCCGTTCATGTGACTGGACTACCCAAGTTCACCAATCGTGAGGTGTGACCCGGCCAAAGATTATAGCACTCACTCTCAGACCACGGCTTCCCCCATTCTTGAATCCCTAGAGTGTCTCATACCATAAGTTATTCTCCTCATTGAACTAATAGAGATAGCTAGGTTTTAGTTTCTCGATAAATTATGGGACAAGGTTATACCCCCGCATATTGAAGGGCAGCCTAAATATCATATGGATTTTTTCTACTCTCAACCCCTAGGCGAACTCTCGCCACTAATCATGCTATAATTAATACTCACTCATTTTCACCTTTTTTGCTTTCATATACTCATTATTACAACAATTATGTTGGGTTCACGGTCATGCATTACCCAAGTATGTATTCTCATCCTTTTTCAAAATTCATTTCTCATTAACACACATCTATCTCATATAGTCATCACATTCATCTTCCAAAAATATAGGCCTGTTCATGGTTTAAAAACCCTCTTGACTTCACATTTTGCACTTTCAAGCCAAAAATAGCTTTTTCATACACTCATTAAAATTAATATATGGTTTTACTTTAAAAGTCAATCTCATGCATGTAACATTCACAATTCACATTTAACAATCAATTAACATATAATTACCTAAAGTAGAATTTTCTTTCGGTTACCTCAAACCTTTGAGAGGTCAAAGATTTACCCCTCAATCAACTAGCTTTCAAGCTTGAATTTCCAATCTAATAAGTGAGCAAGAGCTAAAATTACAATCAACCAAGTTGAATTTCATCAACATAACCAACTCAAACATTTAAATCCTCAATTTCTACTTCTAAATTGTCCAACATTCACTCTACATGAGTTGGAGCCTATCCATTGAGTTTAATAATTACCTTTAGTCCCTAATAACATTAATAAGCCATTAAATTCTCATTAATGGCATCACAATCTTCTAACCACCCATAATAAATGAGATTTTCAGATATTAATGGTGCCCAACAACTCAAGACACCAAAACATATTATACCTACATTTAAATATTCTAATATACTCCCATTAGCTCCATTTGAGTCAATAAATTCAGACCCATAACCTATATGAAATGAAGTTCCACTTCCACTATCAAATCCTAACCATTAACTCATAAATGTGGAAGAAATTGAGAGATTAATGAGTCTAATATTTACCTTGGGTGTTTATAACCTTTAAAATACTCCCAATGTCATCCACAAGTAAACCCTAATAGAGCTTGGCACGTCTCTTCGTTTCCTCTTTTCTTTCTCTCTATTTCTGTCCCATTTACGTTTAATAAATTGTAGAAAATGGTCATGCACCGCGGCGCATACCACAAAGAGGTCTTCCCTCGCTCAAACATGGCGCATGGCATAGAGTGGTCTTCCCTCACTCAGAAATGTCTATACACCGAGGCGGACAATCTACATGCCATGGCGTGTGGCACATTAACATCAACTCTTCCTTTTCTTCTTCTTTTGATGCCCGAGTGGCTCGCCTTGATACCGAACCTAAAACTAGGGCTAAAATACTATCAAATATGATTATTAGATTTCTCTGGACACACACACACCACTCTAACTTACTTAATTATCTTAATTAGGTTTAATTAATTAGGAGATTAAAACTCAGGATATTACACCCCCCACATGTATAGTAAAAATTTATAATTTTAAAGGTTTTTAATCTTTTGTTTTTTTCATCTCTCATTTTTTTTATTTTTTGTTCTCTTCCTCTTCTTTTTTTTATCTCTGATCAAATGGTTTATGTCGCTGTGCAGACGAGTTGAGGGCCAACCTACACGAGTTAGAGTTTTAACAAGTTAGATTGGGCCAGCTTACCAAAATAAATGAGCTGAAAAAATTTAACTCAACCCACACACTGGCAGGCTAGCCCGCAAAATGCAACTTTATCTTTTTAAAATAACTTAACATTTATAATTAATATGTCATATATATATACACACACATTCAAATTAAATCACCCCTCTAAATCCTATTAAACAAATATCACACAATAAGCTTTATTTTGTCCAACATCTATTTAAATCTAAGTGGTCTATTATGCATTCTTGAAAAGCCACGGTACTTCAAAAAACAATTTAAAATCCAAACTTTTTTTACTTGAATGCCCCACTAAAAGTAAGTTTGAATAATAGAAACAGATATGAAATTGATAAAAGAAAAAGAATTAGAATTAAAATATTTTTGGTATCACAAAAAATTTAAATGTAATTTTGATATTATTTATATTTTCTTTCCATGGATTAAGAATTAAATAGAAAAATGAAGCCAAAATATTAAAAAATTGTTAGATTTTTACTATTAATCATCTTCTCACTTAAGTATATTATCTTTCTCATTGAGAAAGAAAATTTGAATATAAATCCATTTTAATTTTTTTCAATGAATTAATATTTGTGATTTCAATCAATGGATCTTGTAAGATTAACAAATACTTTCTTTGTTAAAAAATATAAGGTATTTTTAATTGAATCTCACTTTTCAATAAAGTAGTTATCTACTTCCCAACTAATTCTATTTTTTTATATTTACTTCTATTAAATATCCTACAATAAAGATAAAGTCATTATCAATAGGGGCACTTTTAAAAAAAAGACAATGATTACACATTAAAAAACTAAAAATATTTTACATTTTTTAATATCTAACTCCTTGAAAAATGCCTTACATTTTTGAATGGAGGGAGTAATAAATATTCAAAATATTTCTTTAAAAACTAATAAATCATCGATTTATAAATTATAATAAAAATTTTATTTGTAAATTGTAAGAAAGATTTACATTATCTTTTAAATGTAAAGAATATATTTAAAAGTTATAAATTATAGATTTGAGAAATATTATTATTATTATAGATTTATAAGGAGATATATTGCTATTGAAAAATAAATTATTTTTTTGAAAAGAATAGGGTAGCTGTTTAGCTCACGTGCTAGCCCATTTTAACCTGTCAATTTTACGGGTTGGGATAGCCTAACCTGTTTTAAAAAATGGGCCAATTTCTTCAACCTAACTTGTCAAAATTGGAGAGTCAAACAGGCTAGCTCACAAGTTCAACACATTTTTCCAACTTTACCTTATGATACCTATTAGATTTTTTATATTAAGCATGCTTAAATATAATATATTCTATCAAAATAGCTTAAACCATTTAGTTATATATTTCCTAAACTTATGTATTTATAATTTATGTTATAATTTTTAAATGTAAGACTTCTTTTTATGTTCTAGTAACCAAAAGTTTGAGTTAAAATTTAACATCTTACAACCTGTTTGGATTCACATTATAATCGATTCTGGGGCTCAAATAATCAGTTTTTGAAAAAAATTATCCAAACATAAAAAAAATTGATATTGATTACTGAGTCATAATCAAGTTTTGAAATAAGTTCTGAAAGATTACTTATAAATTCAATTTTACTATTAAATAATATATTTTACTTAAACAAAATTTAACAAATTTAATGATGTCAAGTACAACTTTATCAATAATTTAATTTTAAAAAATAATGTTTTTATGATAATTTGAAAAGATAAAATCAAATTCAGTTTCTAAATTGATCATCAATCATATTAATTAATTATTTTTATAATTAATTCTATTTAACTAAAATTTAAACGGGTCTTTAAAATGAATGTATCAGATTAATATCCCAACGTGCCGTTTCTTTTAAGATTGCCACCTCACTCGTGATTGAGAGAAGCACGGTTGACCTCCTGCTCTAACCAAATGTTCACAAAATGTAAAGCATGCAAACGCGTCCACCTCCTTTTGTTGACATCTTGAAAGCACAATAACTAATTAACTATCAAAATCTCTTATCTGTTTTTAAATATAAGAGAAAATAATTAATACACAGTTTGAAAAACGGGTTAAATATAGTAATTATATCTAAAGTTAAAAAATCCGGACTTACTTGTCCCTCTAGTTAATAAAACAAATTTGTGTAGTGAAAAAAAATATTAAATTCATGAAAAATAATTTAAAAAAATATGATAAATGCTTTCTTTATTAAAAAAACAAAGAAACATGCAGTTTCTTTCAACATCGACAGTGTAATGTATATATTTTAGCAAAAATAATAACCATGTCGTTTTAAAATATACACCCACAATCATTTATATATTTGTTATTATATTTTTTAATTAAAATATAACAAGTAGATGATCTGTCAATAATTAACACGTATATACTAATTTGTAACTAAATTATTCACTGATCATATTTTGAGAGACTTATAGTAGAAATAGTAGCGATTAATTACATTCACTTATTTTCGTTTGGAAAAAAAAAAAAAAAAAAACTTCCCATTCCTGAGAGAGAATGACGGATGACCAATCCCTGTGGTTCAATTCAACACTGCTATTTGTGGTAAACAAAATCATGCATGTAAAAAGGGCACGTGGTATATTTTCTTAATCAAATTAAAATTAAGATACTGATTAAATTAATACTCGTTTTAAAAAGGTAAAAAAATTTTATTACATAAGAATAAATATAAAAAAGTAGTGCTAATTTATAAATAAATAATTATTTTATTAGAAAATAAAATTTAATTAAAAATATTTTAAATTTTTAAATAGAAGCAGAATATTAATAACGTCAGAAAGGCAATAAGACAGGATTATTTTATTGCAATTTTGACAATTGACAATGAAAGCAATTGCAGATTGGGTTGAAGAACCCACGAAACTTCCGAAAGGGATTGAGTTGCGGGAATTTGGAAAACATTTTCAAAAGGCAGATTCAAACGGAGAAAGCCGGAGACGCTGTCAATCAACCTTAACCGAGTTACCGTGTGGCGTCTATTCTTGTTCTGAGTTCTCTTCAGCCTCCAAACTCGTTCTCTTTGAAATTTTGCACGCTGCCTCCAAAACCTTTATATATAAGCTCACACGCTCTCCGACATCCAGCGATAGCTTACGCTTCTTCTATTCTCAGGGTTAAGACATGAAGATTCCTCGTTCATTTCTCACTTGTTTCTCTGCAACAGTCGAAGAACCAAGACAGCTCGGTATATTATCCCTTCCGCTGATCTACATGTTCTGTCTTCTATATTCTCTTGTTCTTTTGTTTTTCCTTTTAAATTCTTTCATCTAATGCTGGGTTTGTGAATACTCCGCAGATGACCCGGAAGGAGGCGGTGATGAAGCATTTCGTGTATTCCATCGCAGCGAATTGAAATTAGCCACCGGCGGTTTTAATTCCTGGGACAAGATTGGAGAAGGAGGATTCGGTTCTGTCTACAAGGTTATTCTCGTTCTTTTTCTGCTGACAGACTTGATGCGGCATTGAAAGGAACCTTTAAGCGATCCATTAATGTAAAACTTGAATTAATGATCACCAAAGACTGACTGACTGTGTTTGACCTCTAAAGGGGCAGCTTCGGAACGGCAATGTGGTGGCTGTGAAAGTGCTTTCAGTCGAACTGGAATCTATGCGAGGAGAAATGGAGTTCGCCGCAGAATTGGCCACACTCTCTCGTATCAACCACGAAAATCTAGTTAGTCTTCGAGGGTGTTGCGTGGAAGAAGACCGAAGATATTTGGTCTTCAATTACATGGAAAACAACAGCCTTTCCCGCACTTTTTTAGGTACGTTTTTGGTCCTTAAGCATGTATCAGAAAGTAAATGAAGCAGACCTGGACATAATTTTGGCCTTTTGGTTGATGATATATGTAGGCACAGATGAATGCAGGATGAAATTCAGATGGGAATTGAGGAGCAACATATCTGTTGGGGTGGCTCGTGGCCTTGCCTATCTCCATGAGCAACTAAAACCCCACATTGTCCATAGAGATATCAAACCCAGCAACATCCTTCTCGATCAAAACTTCACGCCAAAGCTATCTGACTTCGGTTTCGCAAAGTTGTTTACGGACGAAAAGTCATACGTCAGTACTAGAGTTGCTGGGACATTGTAAGTGACAGCACTGCATACCACGTTACTCAACACAGCACGTAAATGAATCGGATCTTCCTTATTCTCTGGCTAATTATGGCGTTTTTGTTCTGCGATATTTTAAGGGGCTATATTTCTCCGGAGTATGCCACTACCGGAAAATTGACACGAAAATCAGATGTTTATAGCTTTGGAGTGTTACTCTTACAAATTGTTAGTGGCCAAGCAGCGGTTGATGCTTATCAGGATATGGATCGTTTCCTGGTAGAGAAGGTAAGAAATTTAATTCTCCCTCGCTTTCTCGAGAAAACAAGCACGAAGAAGAACATAGAAATAGTTCATTACTAAACACGTGGGGTCCAATGAATGTGTGACTATGCCTGCAGGTGTGGGCAGCTTATAAAGCTAACGAGCTAGTAAAAATGGTGGATCCTGTGATTACAAATATGAACTCGGTAGCGGAAGAAGGCATTCGATTCCTAAAAGTGGGGCTGCTTTGCGTGCAAGAAACCGCCAAGCTTCGGCCCAGAATGACAGAGGTCGTTGAAATGTTGACTAGCAGCATCATTAATGACATGGAAGGTGTTGCTATCTCAAAACCAGGCTTTGTTGCTGATCTCAGAAACATCAAAATAAGGCAGCAAATACCAATACCCGTGAGTCCCGAATCAATTTCAAGTGGAGCAAACCAGGGTATTTGGAGGTCGGCCGTTCTCGCCCGTTAAATTCATGAGGGTTTATTGGGATTCATCCAGTTTTGCTATTGTTTATGCATGTGTATAGTGTAATCAAGTTGATTTTGTGCAATCAAGCGTACAACTGTCATAGCTTTGTAAATTGCCGCCATTCTTGTTGAAATTAATTCAAGGTAGAGGCAGACATTATTATTCTGCTACTGTTAATAAAATATCTTAATTTGTAAACGTGACAAAATATTTAGAGCAATACGGATGTTCACACCTAAAGAATGCTCGCGGTATTTGACCATCATACATGTTTGATGTTCACACTATTGATTCTTCAGACAAAAAGCGTTCATTTGTGATTGGCCGATATATACACGTGGGAACTTAAGCATTAGTCAATCAAAAAGCAATTGCACGCAAAACCAGCGGCGGAACCCCACGGATTGGAAGGAGGTATTGGATTGGCACAGTTTGACTTTGCCCGTCAAATTTGACCAATCGTACTCTCTCAATTTTGATGTTAAGTGCTTTTTATTGGTTTGGGCTCTCAAGGCTTCTCACCACCACGAGTCAGTTACTGTTCATACGGATATTTAATGTTGTCTTTCACCAAAGTTTGTCTCAGCAAACCTTAAACTGATACCATGTACCAACTAATTCAGCTTCTGTTAAGGAGAACTTCATTTGGCTATATGTCTCCATTCTTTTCGAGGTTGGAATTTAAGTTCAAAGAATAAAACAGAAAGCCTAGAGGCAATCCGTCAACAGGATCAATACGGCGATAACATTAAGTCATATCGCATAAAGCTCATCACAATCTAAGTGAAGTTTTGACATGATCATAAAGATTGCATTCATAGTATGAACCCTCTATGCCACGCTGTCAATATATCTATTAGGTTAGCATCTTTAGAAATATGATGAAGAGTGATTGACCAATTACTTATAGTATAATAAGCTATCTAAAATTCCTTTAACAAGTTTATCAAGGGACGATTCTTGGAGTGTTCCCTACATGAGATTCCCATGATTTTTTGTCTCTAATATTAACTAAGATTCCCGCATAAGTTTCATTTTGTGGGTCTTCACTTTCGATGAAAGTGCGAGGGATGGGAGATATCCATATCTAAGTCACATAACTATATATAAAGATATCGACCTGATTAGTGTTTGAGTTTGATAATGATGTTTCAGTGTTTACAACAATAAAATATTTAAGGCTCCACCACCGACTGCTTTAGTGAAATGAGCAGTATATCCACAGAGGAAAGAGAGGGAGAAAGAAAGAGTAGGCGTACAGTGATAAGGCCGGAATCGAGTTGCAGATACGGGCAGCGCAGAAGGTACAACAATTTCATACAGCAGCAATTAAGTCCAATGCTGTAGGCGAACAAAATCCTCCAACAAGAAAGCTTGGCTTCAATAAAGTGGGGCTTTCATGGCGTCATTGCGTGTGAGGATCACATAGCAACCCGCCATAAATGTCAACTGCGGTTAAGATTCTATTGTTTAAGAACATACTGAACAAGACAAAGTTCTCAAACTGTTGCCTACCATGATCTCATCTATGCCAAAAGCTTCAAATCTTCTAGTCTTCAATTTGCGGTTGATAATAAAGGACCCTCAAGAAAATTGATGCAGAAACGAAGGACAGCTATCATGACTTCTCCTTGTTTTCCTTAGCCTTGTGTACCACGCAGCATCCTCCAAGCACTTATCACTGGCTAGCTAATAAAATTTTGATTCTAGTATGAATTGGATTACAAGAGCTGGATCCTAGCTGCCACACTGTGTCAATTTTAACAAGATCCTGAGAGTAAAATCTAGTATATAAAAATCACAGCTGGGGAACCGGAATTAAAAATAATAATATGAGGAACTCTAAACTTTGAAACTATTTCAAAAGACTCGGGGTTAAAAGGAAAAAAAAAAAATTAATCCAGAGTCGTAAGACACAAATCTTTGTGGTTTAAATTTTTAGTCTTTAAACTAGAATACTCAAGCTCAACTATATAATTTTCAATTAGTTTAGCACTACGAATGATAAATAGTAACCCCTCGTTAAATAAGTAAATAGCATTTTCTTTTGTGTTTTAAGTACAAAGTGTATTGTGTGTGAATACGGGAGTGCAGAAATTATAAGGTAAATGTGCACATATCAGTGAATCATCGATTATAATAAACCAAAAAGGCTATAGCAGTGTCAAACAACATAACCAATATCCACAAAGTTATTTCTAAAACAAAAATTCCTATTGCTGATCGGATAAAGCTTGTTAGTTTGACAGGTGATAAATATAATTCTCATTTAACTTCTGGCTCAATTGTATGCTTACCCTGTGAGAGAAATTATGACTTTTCAACGATAGTAATTAATTCAAAAACCACAAACCTACTTTGAAGGATCATTTGACTTAGATGCGAACAAATGCAAAAAGAAGCCTATACCAACAAAAAAGATACTACAGAAGAACAAGGACTTGTGACTGTGTCAAGCAACCATGTAATCAAGGTGATAATGATCAGTACTGGACGTAAATGTGTATCCAATTCCTAACCGGCAAACCTGCCTCTCATCAAGACAAGTCCAAAGGAATCTCGGAGCAACAAGTTAGACAAGACAACCGAGCGAGTAATTAAAGAGGGCAAAGCATAAAGAAATGGAAGACTCGTTAAGGAGTTGAGAATTGTACAAAATGCAGAAACTGAATATGAAATGGGACGGGTAGAGATTAAGTCTGCTCTGATGAAGAGCAATGCCAGCATGCATGACTCCTCGCACGCCATTCACCAAGGCCAACACTGCACTGATGGGCTACGCAAATGGCATACAGGGAGCCAGGCACTCCATGGAAGACGTACGACGAGGCAGCTGGCTTAATTAACCAAATGCCTTCACAAGCTGCAACGCTTGAGTCAGGAAGTAGCCTGCGCGTGCTAGTTAGAAGCTACTTAGCAGCATATATGCAGAAGGAGGAGGAAAGTCTCTCCCAAATGACAAAACCGTCCCTCATAGTTCTCAGGCTTATGCAGACCAAGCTCCACAAAACACTACTCCATCTACCTGGACGTCTATTCTCTTGGCCAGGGTTAGGATCAGTTTTGAGGGTGTTGGGGTCATATTTGGGGATGAAAAGGGTGAGAAGGAGAGGGATGTAGATAAATAAGAGAAGGGCTTAATATAGCTGTGGGAATGCTTCCCTCTTCAAAGTTGTCTTCCATTACATAAGAAATCGAAGGGAATCAGTCCTTTTTTATCTTCTGAATTAGATTTTGTCTCTAAGTGTTTGGATCACATTTAGATTCCTATCTCCCCCACAATTGGACTTCTTTAAAGAACAAGATTTTGCCCCTCAGCGTCCTTTTCCTGTTATACTGTGTGTAGTTTTTGTTTGCCTGTTCATTTAGTACAACATGACGTAAGAATGCAGCACATAGCATTTACATGGAGGTCCTTTTGGAAGGGCTTCGATAATTTTTCCCTTCATTTGTTCCCCGTATTTAAACCGACTTCTATAGAGATTTCAAATTAACTGACATCGCTTATAAATGTTGGAAGAAAAAGAATAAGAAGTTAGTTCCCCCGGGTTACCTCCTCCATAAATATATGTGGTCTACATGTGAAGCCAAAGATGCATTAAACGTACAAACAAATGTGAAGCCAAATATGTGAACTATTATTTAACTGTCGAAAGATTTAATTTTGCCCCCGCAACCTTCTTTTCATCGAGTAACTGACTTTACTTGCTACCTAGATTCTCATAATCGAGTGACACAGGGTCTACCATGTGAACTGAAACGAACGCATTAACTCCATAAAGTGACACCAGCATCATTGTCCAAGTAATTTCTAGAAAGACAATTACATAGGAGAAGAAAGAAATGTTATTTATCTAATCCGTTCATTACCGTTTGGGATATAGACAGAGAGGGTATGTAGGTAGCTAATGGGCTCTCAATCCTGCAAAGCAAAACGCGATGAACTTTGGAAAAAGAAGTCGGGGGAATCAAGAAATAATAATTTTTTAAGCAGAGAGGGGGAGAGAGGTACCAGGTAGAGGAAAGAGAAGTGACGGGGGCAAAAGCACATGGAGAAGCCTGCAAGGAGGACACTGAGAGAGAGCAGAAAGAAAATGAGGAAAAGTTGATGATAAAGCTGCAGGACTTCCAAGGTGGGAAAGGTCGACCAAACAAATATTGGAAAGATAGAGGGAATGAAGGGAATAGAATAGATGCTGCTGCTGGCTGTGCCTGCCTGATTGGAACCCAACTCTTTCATTCACACACAACTTTCCCTTTCTTCCCTGACGACTCCACCATTTGGCTCTTTCTGTGTGTTTGGACTTTGCTTGTTTCCCCCTTCCCTCTCCAGATTCTATTGCCTTTGCCTGTCACCACCACCTCTTGTGCACATGCCCTTCCAAATTATTCCATTTCCCCAATCAAGCACTCACGGGAGCCCATATCATTATGCCATGGAATCTCACGCCCTTTTGATCACCACTTGATGTTGCAGATTATATTGTCTCACTTAGCTACTCTGCTTTCTTGTTCTCCTTCTTCGCCTGCAATTTAGGCAATCAAGTTTGAATCCCGTATCCCACTGATACATATCTTCTTTTTGTATGAATATCTGTTTCTTCTTCTTTCGGTCGCACTGATTAAGGAAGTGAATATCGGATACGGTCTTAATTTTCTTGAGAAGACAGATCTTTCCGTGAAATTAGATGAAAATTAAATGAGATTTAAAAATAAAAAAGAAAACGCTTGAAGGCATTGAGAAAGGAAATTGGATTAGTTGAGCGACGGGCATGTAATATGCGACCAACTTAAGATTTTAACAGGCGGCCCCCCCCTTTCCTCCCTTGATGTGGATCGGAGGGCCATTTGATTTGACATATCGGAGACTAATGATGCTTATCCACATTCATATTTGATTGCGGTGAATCATCATCAGTGTCTAAAGCATACGCATTATTTACCGGCATATATTTACTCCAGAGCAGACAGTTATGTCATGCAACCAAATTTCATCTAATCCCACCATTTCTTCAACAAATCAAAAAAGGAAGAGACACATAAACCAACAGCTATATCCTATATATACTTTTTTTTTAATATTGCTTTTTGATCTTTACAGCTGAAGCCTCATTGTCCACCAAAGTCCTGCGAGTTTCTTTTATGGGATTACTCCCCCGTCCCTCTAGAGAAGTCATTTTACGGTAATGCGGTGCTTGGTAAACAATTAGAATTGAAAAATTGGGTTGTTTGGCATAGTGAAGTCTACTTCTCCAAAAAATTCAATTCTCTCAAAACTGATGGAAGTCACTTTCACCTTCATATTTATGCATGCAACCAACTCCCTCCCTCGCTCTCTTCATAAAGTTGAAATACCCCATCTTCATGTATAAACTGAACATGTTTTAAAACTACATTTTCATTTTATTTCTTTCTCATCCACTTTCACTAAAAACTCTTCATGTTGTCAAAAGGATATAAAATGCTTTTATTTTTTTTATTTTTAAAAACATAGCTCACCAATGGGAGTTGGTCCTAATGGAAGGGTTAGTCCTACTAAGGTTCAAATTTATTGAAAGAAGTGCTTATATTTAGTATGTATTTAGTTTTTCATTAGACAAAAGTCAATTATTATAATGAAATTTATGTTAAAAATGCTTTTTTTTAAAAAACCAATTTAATAAACTAAAAGTTATTTGAATTAATGATAATTTATACTTTTGAATTACGTTTTTGAATGTACAATGATCAAAAAATACATTGATTTAATTTGTAATTTTTGTTATGCAAATATAATATATTAGAAATATTTAAAAAATTTAAAAAAAAATTAAGTGACGTGAAATTTGATATGTTAAATAATAAGAATAAAAATATAAAGTTTGATATGTTAGAAATTTTTTGTAATAAATGATTTCAAAATTTATTAATATTAAAAATCAACATGATTAATTATTCGATTTACAATGTACAATCTAATCCATAATTTTTTTATACAAACAATGTGATTTATAATGAGTGTGAACTCATACACAAGGAAGAGAGAAAAAAATGCAAAGATAGTATGATCAATTACAAATTGGGCATATATTTATTCCTCTTATTGATGCTTTCCAACTTTCATTTGCATTTCAAATCCTTCCTCAAGCTACTTTTATAAATCCACATTCAAATCACCCTAGAAAATACCTTTTAGAAGCATACTTTTCTCTTGATGATAAGAGGAAATCTTCTCTTGATCTTGTTTCGTGTAAACCATTATAGTTTCTTTGTATACTTCTCATAAAAAATCCCACTCATCATCTTGTATCCAAACAACTTTTTCCATCTCAAATATTAGGAAGTGCTTTCCTAGGTGTGAAATGCGTGGTTTATCCAAACATGCTCTTGAGGGTTGGTACTAACCATGCCTCAAATAGAGATTACCTCCAATAAAAATAGTGATGGGTTAGATCTTCTAAGATGACCCTTACTTGTCAATAGGTTGGCTGTCAAAAGGATTAATATTTATAGCAATTATTAACAACCAAAATCATAGAATGCAAAGTTTTATATATGCTACAAACTGAATTTTCCCTTGCTTATTTTTACACTACAACATTGTTTGCTTTAGGTAGTAGTTTTGGTTGCAACAATTTTAAAAATGTTGTTTAATGTGAGTATAAGCAATAGTTTTTGTGTATTATTATTAATACATCTTCAAACAACAAATATTTGGCAATATTTGTAAATTATTCCTTGAAGTATAATAGGTAATGGTTTTCAAGTGTTACAATAAAATTTTAAATAGGCAACATAAAAGGCTGTTGCCTATAATTACACTTT